TTTAGATTACAAAGAGGTGATTGAACTAAAGAGGATGAGTATCTTAGAGAAAAAAGACAAAATAATGAAGGTTCTTTCATCAAGGCAAACAAGCATAACATGAACCACTGGCTCAAAGCTGAAGCCAGAGTAATTCAAACTAGAACTGGGTAGCCATTAGTTAACAGTGAAGGCAATTAACCACTGCAGCAAAATGTCAGAGGAAAGTAATGAGTTCTTTGCTTCTTGCTGTCTTAAGATCATGCATTTCTGCAAAAATGGGCTTTAGCAAAACACAAATTATTTATTAACAGTCAAATAACTTAACACAAGTAACTATGTGAAATGTAATAGCTCGTGACATATAGGAGGCCAGATTACACTTAAATGTATGAGTTATGAGCTTTACTGGGACTAGGCACGTGGGCACACTATCATTTGTAGATGTTTACTTATTGATAAGCAAAAGTCAGTAGAACAAATGAAGAACTGACTCTCCTTTTGCCATCCCAGAACCAAATGTGCTGTTATTCCCATGCCATTCAGTTCAGCTTCCCCTTTTTCATGGGCTTCAAAGGTGAAAAGCCAACGCCTTCAAGGCAACACCTGCTCTTGCTCCTCAAGGGAAAACCACTCAGGCTCACTACATAACTCATTCTCTCCATTTACTTTAAACAGTACAGCAGAGGTAGAAGAAAGATAGTCTTGTCTTTCCCTGATCTCTTATTTGGTAGTTCTTAAAAATAAACAAACAAAAATGTGTTTACCCAATTTATCTAACCTGGTATTAAAGACTCGATATGATTACAGTGAGGTAAATAAATTTCTATCATCTCCTTATTGCAGATTTTCTTTCTGTATGTCCCAGCTTCTTCCTTGAGTTTGGTCTGGGTGTATCTTTATTTCTGCTTCCTTCCTAAAGAAATAAAGAGGTATTTATATAGGAGTTTTGCCATACGAGTGCCCTTTATTACTTCTCTGTCTGTGTTTCAGAGAGACCCTATTTCATCTGTTATCTGTATTTTCCTCTTAGCCTAGCAGGGCAAAGAAGTCACTTCCTTTCTACTCATCTATTGTCTGCAGATTTCCACTTTACATTGGATGTTGTTTTACTTCATCAGCAATTCCTGTTGTCTTCTCCACTTTTCATAATTTTTATAGATTTTCTTTTTCTACAAATTGAGAGCTAAAACCTGCTTGAAAAAGATAAGTTCCAGGAGGCAACACTAGATTAACTAGATTATTCTCTATAGATCATTCTTTTTCTTTTTTTTTATGTTTCTCCTTAATTACACTGTATTATTTATCATCTCACTTCCCTTTTGCCTATGCTTCTTTTAAGTCCCAAGAAGTGATTTCCTATTCCTTGTTTTTCTGTTTTTTTTTAAGACCTAGAAGCTATCCTATCCTAGATTTATTGTCTTCTGAACACATGCATGAATTCTCATGGGTAGCCATGTTTTAAACATATGACTACTTGGAGAATATATACCAATTACGCTAATTTAGAAATCCTAATCACTTAGCATTTTTTTTTATCTCTTGTGCACTCTTACAGATGCAGTTTTACACGTGGGGGTTTTATACTATTGTTGTAGAAAGACTTGTGTACTTTCGGGTCTATGCGAAGATCTTTTAATTTTGAAGAAACTGCGCTTGCTGCAAGGTTAAACATGTGAAGTATGCACAGATCCAAATTTCTCTCCTATTAGCTGGTAAGCTCAAAAAATACAAATCTACACTCACAGCTCATAAAACATATGAAGGCACAGAAACCACCCTTTGGTGTAGACTTAGAGGGAAATGGCAATTCAGCTGACACATCTTGTAATGTTTGCAAGACAGGCTGTGCCAATGTAAACCTGACTTGCAAACATATGGAGTTTTTCACTATAAATGGTTTCTCATTATTATAAATGGTCTTTTTATTGAAAATGTTTTCCCTTTACCTTGTCTTTTTGGACTATTTATATTACTTGACCATCCTTTTCCTTTTTGTATACATTGCTCCAGCTGAAGAAAAAACATGATTGGCAAATGGTATTATTTCAGAAACACACTGCTTCAGTGGACTCTTTCCTTGTAATTAATTAGTTCCTTTTAAAAAGTGCAGTGAAATTTTCAATTTTATTATGTATAAGCCTGTACTTTAATGGACAAATGCAGAAACTTCATAGTTAAATTCATAGTAAAGTCATAGACAACCTCATAGTTAAATACAGGAAGCAAAATAGGAAAGCCCATTCAATGCAAAGGCTACATGCTCCTGATCTCTTTAGCTCCTTTTGTTTCTGTAAGGACACAAGTTTTTATACAAGGCATAGCTTGGCATGATTTGAGATATAGGTTACAGACTCATAAATTCCCAAATGGCTTCCAAATGGAATAACTTAATACTCTATAGAACATTTCTTATTGTAAAATTAAATCTTGCATGTCCCCAAATACTTTTCATTGGGAGCAAGTTAATAAAGAAAAAAAAATGTATAATATAGGACATAGGTCTTTTCACAATTCAAACTTCTAATTCTTTGAATCAGAGAAATATCAGTTATGCAGACTGCAGAGACTTTACAGATTAGAAAAATGTACATGGAATTCTGTTTTGATTTTCCATATGTCTTTTTTGTCTTTAATCTGTGCAGTTCTCTGCAGTCGACTCAGTCTCAGGTGTAGTGAAAGCTCTAACTACAGGTATTGAAATTTAACATCTTAAAATACAACAGCAAAAAAGGCCTAGTCATTAATGAATACAAATTTTGAATACAAATTTTAAAAGGAGTTTGGATGCAGAAGAAGTTTGGTTCAGACTTGTTTCTCCCAGTGTCTGCAATGTAAGGTGTTCAGAGGAGGTATAGTGTCTCTGTGTGATACTCCTAGTATAGTATGGAACTAATGATAAGAACAAAAAATCTGTAGCTGTATAACACATAATAATAACTGTATCTAGAAAAAGTAAATATAATAATGAAGATCCGCAGTCTCATCAAGATTAGGTATTATACTGGGAATGTTTCAAAATGCAGTTTCTCATTTTGCAAAATTTTTGCAAGTTTTGATTACTGGAACCAAGGAGGCTCAGGCCTCCCTGAACTGGGCTGTCCTCTGACTTCTGAGGAGAACTCTTAAACCCTAGATCCGCACACCAACCTTTCTTTCCTGGTAGCAATAAATGGTCAGATCACCAACCCCGGTTAAGCAAGAAGTCAGCATATGCCCCAGAATTAAGGCTGCACCTGCATTCAGGAGACCCCTGCCTATCCCCACGCTGCTGGTGGCATTCCATGTGACTTATGGAGGCCACTTTGACCATGCTTCTCCTTTTTGCTTATTTTGATATTATCTCTAAGACCTATGCATTTGTCTCAATAGCAAACATTACTCCAGACAGAATACCATGAGCAAAGAATTCTCACAGAATAGAGTATATTGTCTTATTGTTAAGTATTTAGTATGCTTTTATAGAAAATCAACCACTTGTAGCATCTGTACAAAATCAAGTTACGAGCTTTAGATGTCTGACAATAATAGGGTTTCTGCAGATCACTGTATGGTCAGTGCAAGAAAAGAAAGTAAGAAGTTAAAGAGGGAAGAGCTCCCAAGGATGAAGGAGGTGCCTTGAGCCAACTGCATCACTTAACAGAACTCAGCTCAAGAATCTTCAGCAGAATCTAATTTGCCATTGAGACCATGCCACGCCTGACAGCAACTATGGAAAAAAATAGCATATTTTTACAGAAAACAAATAAGCAGACATAAGGGAATAAAGAAATGCCAGCTATTCAGTACAACTTTACCTGCTGTGCCTGGCTTTGAAGAGGTATGGAAAGAACGGAAAGGTTAAAAGGAAGGGCAGCAAACATAAGTAGCTTAGTTCTTAATTGCAGTTGTGAATGCAACTTGTGAAAAATCGTATTGGGTGTTTATTATAAAACAGGAAACTACAGGTCTGATTATGTTGCCTCTTGTAAGTGTGAAGGTCTAGCACAGGCATTCCACAGGAAAGCTGCCGCAGGAAAGGACTGAGCAGAGGGCATGAATGAAGCACTGTGCCTCCAGGAAAAAACCCTGCCTCCTGACACTGCTTTTTTTTTTTTTTCTTTTTTTTTCTCCAAAGTGTGGGATTATGCTTGGAGGGGAAGAAGATTTACAGAGCACAACTGAACATGATTTATGGGAAATGCTTCTTTTCCCCATGTGTCTGAACAATGACACAAAAGGACTGATGCTAATAGAAACAGCTAATGTGTGCTTAAAGAATGGTTTGGGGACAGAATTATTAAACAGCAAAGTCAGTTTGGTACGCGTGATGGTTATGTACCTACAGCACAATATTCTTATCTGCCAAAAATACTTGTAAAAAAGTTGGAGTGCTCCACTTGCACTGAGGCAAAAGATTAACCACGAGGAAAAGGGCCACGTCAGAATCAGAGCATCATCCTTGCTCACAAGTTGCGCTATTAACTGCAGTGAACTGTACCAGGATTGTAGCTTGTTTAGGTAGAATATACTCCTTTGGTCACCAGTGGTGAACTAATGAGCAGCACCTGGTCATTCGTTAGTCAGTAAGTAATGACCCTGCAGGGAGAAATTTGTGCTAGTGTCCCAATCTTAAAATAAAACTAAAAATCGTGAAATCCTTCAGTAATTTCTGCTCCTCTCGCCCTAGTTTCCTTCCACCCCTGCTGCTCCGTTAATGAGTTTCCAGCTCACTCCGTCCTCCCCACGCCACGGACGCTCGTGCCCATCCCGTCGGATCCTCGACCGGCGGGACCACGCGGCCGCACCCCGGGGGTCCCGCTCCTCCTTGGGAAGGAG